GGTGTGTAGATGTACCCAGGTGGTTTTTTTTTTTTTTTTTATCCATTCATGTGCTGATGGGCATTTAGGCTGTTTCCAAATCATAGCTATTATAACTACGATTGTGCTGCTATGAACATAGGGGTGCATATATCTTGGTGTTTCTGATTTCTTGTGATATATCGCTAGAAGTGTGACTTTCTTAGCTTCCAAACCTAAGCAGCCATTTATCCTCAGGAGAGCTAGCCCCTCCTAGTAGGTTCAGGGCAGGAGATACTGCATGCCATACTGCATTTTGAGCTTTACAGAGGAAACAAAGGCAGAGACCAAGCTTATGGGTTTGAATAGTCCCAAAGAGCCCTCAGTGACTGGATTGGGAGTGGGGCTGGTCCACCCTGCTATTCGGGGAATCAGACTGATAAAAACTCCAAGTTGCCAGCTAACCCGATTGGTCTCCATATAAGGACTTATGATCAACCAAGACCAGAGTAATATTTTGGGACACACATGGAGGAGCAACTCTGGGTCAAGGAAAAGACACTGATCTTATTGCCTGAAAGAGAAACAGCCCCATTCCCACATAAAGCCCTGCCACAAATGGATGCTTGAATGATTTAAGACTGACAGCCAGAAGACAGGAAAAGAGGGCAGATTGACCCTGCTTGTTTCAATCCAAAACCTTTGGAGACGGACACAAGCAGAGAACCTGTGGATCACTTGGAGCTTCAAGCAGGGAGTTCAAAACCAAAAGGCAATGACTGACAGTGTCCAGCACCTCAGTACCTAACAGGAATCCCAGAATTAGCTGACAGAAGAGTGGGGTCCTACACCACCAGCCATGAGGCATTACAACTCAGCTGAAGTGAATGACACTTCGCTTTTTTATTTTTATTATTTTAAAATGTTTATTATTGTTTTTACTTTCATCTTATTTTTTGGAACCTTTTTCTTTCTCACTTCTCTTATTCCTGTTTTTCATGTCTTTTAGCCATTTTAGTTTTTCTATTTCCTTTCTTTTTTCTTTTTTTAAAAATGGATCTACTTTACCTGCTTTATTGATGTGTTATTATTTTAGTCTCTGTTAGTTTATTCACATATCTAATTTCCTCTTCCCTGATCCTACTCCAATTCCCCTTCTCTTTTCTTTTTCTTTACTATGCTTTTTAATTTTTCTCTCTTGTCTTGCTCGCATTTTAGTTTTTCTATTTCCTTTCTTTTTTCTTTTTTTAAAAATGGATCTACTTTACCTGCTTTATTGATGTGTTATTATTTTAGTCTCTGTTAGTTTATTCACATATCTAATTTCCTCTTCCCTGATCCTACTCCAATTCCCCTTCTCTTTTCTTTTTCTTTACTATGCTTTTTATTTTTTCTCTCTTGTCTTGCTCGTTTCTTCTAATTTTTTAATTTGTTTCACTTAAATTTAGGGCCTCCTGATGTCGCCTCTAATCTCCTTTGCAAAATAATTTATTTCATTTTTTTTTAAATTTTCTTCTTACCTTCTCATTTCTTTTCTCCATCCTCTGTTCCAACCTGTGGTCCTTCACCTATTTATCCAACTCCTTAATCTTATTTTCTTTATTTAAGCTAAGCATCTACAGATTCTGCCACCCCTATTTTTTTCTGGGTGTTTCTTGTTTATGCCTTTTGGTTTGTTTGTTTTGTTGTGTTTTCTTCCCCGGTATTTTATCTTTCTTTCTTTCTTTCTTTCTTTAATCCTTCCTATCATTCTTGCTGTCTTTTCTCTTTGCTTATTATCTTTTCTATAGTGGTCACTTTTGTCAGGGTTATAGGTGTCTTGAGTACATTCGTGTTCTGTTCCTTCTGTGTTGTGTCTTATCCTGTTGTGTTTTGTGCATTTGGCTCAGTGCCTCCACATCCATTAGCACAACACTGTAATGAGCAAGCCACATAATAAGACACCCTCAGAGGAGACTCCATTTATTAAATGGACAATAACATTCAAGACCTACTTGCATGAGAATAACCCAAATGTTTCAAGTAGGATGCCTCCCTCGAATACCCAGCCCTGATGACCTGAAAGACTGCCTCACTGGGTACTACAAAACATCTAGTACATCAAAAAGTCTGGGTGGCATAGCAGTTTGATTAATGCATAGAATTAATTACAAGAGAACAGAAAAAATATGGAGCCAAAGAAACAACCCCCAAATGAAAGTCAAGGAGGAATCACCGGAAAAGGAACTAAATGAAATGGATGCAAGCAGTTTGTCAGAGAAATAGTTCAAAGTAATGGTTATAAGGATGCTGAAACGTCCTGATGAGAAATTCACCAACATGTGTAAGAATCGAGGGGAAATGAGGAATGACATAGATACAACAAAGAACACAATGGAAGTTTTTAATGGGAGACTAGAAGAAGCTGAGGACCAAATCAGCAAGATAGAAGACAAGGTAGAAAAAAACCCACCCAAGCAATGCAACAACTGGAGAAAAATTAAGAAGCAGGAGGAGAGTCTAAGACCACTCTGGGATAACATGAAATGAAACAACATGCACATAATAGGGGATCCAGAAGGAGAGGAAGCT